GACTTCCCTCTCCCCAGCCACTTGGGCCAGCTCATCTAGAGGAATCCCAAGGCGTTCCGATATCAGCTGAGAAACAGTCCCTCCAGCGTATCCTGAGTCTTCATCTGGGTCTCCTCCCAGTGGGACGTGCCTGGAAAACCTCACCAGAGAGGTGTCCAAGAGGCACACATGTAGGCAAACTCCCATGCACCCCCCAGGGTGTAGAGTTGGTCCAGTGTTCTACGACCAGGATGAAAACCACACTGTTCTTCCTGAATCCAAGATTCAACTATCCGACAGACCCTCCTCTCCAGAGGCCCTCAATAAACCTTTCCAGGGAGGCTCAGAAGTGTTATCCCCCTTGTACTTGGAACACACTCTGTGCCGACCCCCCCACCCCTTTAAATTGGGAGACCACCACTGCTATCTGTCAATCCAGGGAACTGCCCCCGATGTCCACACAATTTTGTAGAGTCGCATCAACCAACGCAACCCCACAACATCCAGAGTCTTAAGGAACTCCAGGCGAATTTCATCCACCCCTGGTGCCCTGCCACCGAGGAGCTTTTTAACCACCTCAGTGACCTCAGCACAAAAGACTGGAGAGCCTGACCTAGAGGGTCCCCTGGCCTGCCAGGTCTGACCAGGATCCTCTTCCCCCATTGGAGCCAACTCACCACCAGGTAGTGGTCAGTTGATAGCTCTGTCTCTCTCTTCCCCCGAGTGTCCAAAACATGCGGCCACAGATCAGATGAGACAACAACAAAGTCAATCATCGAACTGCGGCCTAGGGTGTCCTGAAACAGTCAMGTGGCCACAAACAGTCAAGACCCGTCCCCCCACACATAGGCAGAGGGAGACTACCCTCTCGTTCACCGGGGTGAACCCCAATTTACCGGCACCAAGATAGGGGGCAATAAGTATGCCCACTCCAGCTCTGCTCCTCTCAACAGGGGCAACTCCAGAGTGAAAGAGTGCTCAACTCCTCTGGAGGAGACTGGTTCCACAGTCAGAGCAGTGCATTGAGGTGAGTCCAACTATATCTAGTCAGAAACTCTCAACCTCACACACCAGCTCAGGCTCCTTCCCCACCAGAGAGGTGACATTTCACGTCCCTAGAGCCAGCTTCTGTAGCCAAGGATCAGACTGCCAAGGTCCTCGTCTTTGACCACTGCTGAGAGAGTAATTCAGATTCAGCAAAAATATATTAAGAATCACTGAATGGAATTTGATAAAATTGCAGAAATAAATCATTAACTACACAACTTTGACAGGTTAACTTTTGGGCATGATACATTTGAAGATGGCCAATCAAAATTAGCCACCATAAGAGAGCAGTCGGTTTGACAGATATTGAGGGAAACTTTGGTGTGGGAGTAGTTGAGCGRCCTCCCCAACACATACTTTGAGCTCCAACATCTGGAATGGAATAAAATGGAATATTCTACATTGTCCCCTGTGGGAATTTTTTTCTTGGGCATGTGCTACACAGTTATAAACAAAAAACATTAAAACAACTCACAGGGAGAAAAACTCTAGCTCTAAAACTACATCAARCAACAACACAAGTAAAGAGTACAATATAAGSTATTAGCTMCAAAATGCAACCTGSTAAAGTGCTAATGTGTCACAGAAAGAACACTGTTGRTGGAGTTCAACATTCTGATTSAGGCTMGAACAAAAGAGTTTCAGTCTTTTGGTCAGTGGCACCCTCAGTCTCTTTCCTGATGGCAACAAATCATAATCAGAGAACAGTTGATGTTTATGTTCAGTGGATATGATTTTTGCTGTTGTTATTACTGCTTGTTCATACAGTATATGGTCTGTATGAGTTCATAATCTTTTAAGCCAATTTTTTTCATGGCTGTTTTATGAATGTGGAKAAACTTCATTCTGAATTGGACAGGTAAATTACCAAACAAGGCTGTGATTCCATTCCATATAGTACATTCCAGCATGTCATGGTAAAAAACAAGCATTATGTTTTTTTTCTACTTGGCCTTCAGAGGAGGAGAGACAGCAGGCGCAAATCGTGACACCGCACCTCATACTGGCACTTCCGGTGGCAGGTGTCACAAGTGCCACAGTTTTCTTCTGGCACTTCCGGTGGCAGGTGTCACAA